CCTCCAAAAATTCCTGCAAATCTCTTGGGAAGACAGGCAGAGAAATGTCAGTGTGCTGGAATAAGCAAAGACCACTAGTATTGAAGCAATGCTCCTACACCATCAACTCTGCTGAACTGGCCATGTTGTCTGAAGACCTGATCACAGTCTCCCAAAGTAGCACAGCTGGCTGGGAGTCAGCTGCATTAAGATCACTACTGATCAAAAGGTCATGAGTTTGAAACCAACCCGGGTTGGAGTGAGCTTCCGACCATTTGAGTAGCTTGCTGTAGACCTTTGCAGCCCGAAAGACAGTTGCATCTGTCAAGTAGGAAATTTAGGTACCGCTTATGCGGGGAGGCTAATTTAACTCATTACGATGCCATAAAATCTCCAGCAAGCCTGCAAAGAATGAGGAAGTACTCCATCAGTGTCACAAATAGACAGTGAAGTGACTATTCCCCTAGTGGCTAGAATACCCTAATGAAATATGGAATGTTAAATAGCATCTGTGTGTCTGTCTATATATGTTGTGTATATATGGCATTGAATGTTTGCCATGTATATGTACATTGTACTTGGCCATCATACTCGGACAACAAGCCTATAGCTGCCCTTAGAATAAAGCATCTTCCCACCCCTAAAATGGCTAAATTCCATGGTTCCTCCCTGTTTGGCTCCTTTCCTACAAATGCACTTTTATCCCTATCTCACCCAGGGTTTTAACTTTTTAACATTTTACTTCATACATTTGGCCTGCCCCCCTGTGTCTGGTTTTACTACACTGTTTTATATTGTTGATTTTGCTATTTCATATTTTGTTATGATGTATTTTGTTATTGTGTGTTTATTACGTTGTATTATTTTGGGCTTGGCCTCATGTTAGCCGCCCCGAGTCCCCTTTGGGGAGATGGTGGCAGGTTATAAATAAAGTGAATTATTATTAAAGCTTTTCTTTTGTCTGAAGTCAATTTACTTTTTAGGATAAAGAAAGCTAGCATACAGTACTACAGAGAGTTCTTGCCACAGAACATTAAGGTCTTTGTCAACAGAGACTTTTAAAACTTGAACCGTGTCTTAGCAAGCCTGTGTTGTTTGTCCAACACTTAACAGTGTTGCCTAAATAAACACAGTAAGTTATGTCAGAGAAAGGTGGGAAGTAAATAAAGACAATAAACTGAATGTGACACCATTTGATTGTATTATAAAAATTAATGTTTGAATTTTATATGCATTTGCTTTGTTTTTAATTTGTACTGCATTGTGTTATTTTCACTGTTCAAGTCCCTATGTCAAAGAAAAGCAGGATGAAAAAAAGTTAATGTCATACAGTTTTTGTGTGTGTGTGTCAGTAGTAACTTTAGAAACTGCAAGTTGCTTCTGTTGTGAGAGAATTGGCCATCTGCAAAAACGTTGCCCAGGGGACGCCCAGATGTTATGATGTTTTACCATCCTTGTGGGAGGTTTCTCTTATGTCCCCGTATGGAGAGCTGGAGCTGACAGAGGGAACTCATCTGCGCTCTCCCTGGATTCGAACCTCCGACCTGTCAGTCTTCAGTCCTGCTGGCACAAGGGTTTAACCCATTGCATCACGGGGGCTCATATGTAATGCAGTGTGATTGTATTATATTAAAACATTGCATTTTATTTACATTCACTTTGTTTTTAATTTGTGTTGCATTTTTGCTGTCAAATCCCTATGTTAGAGGAAGGCAAGATAAAAACAATTAAACTTAATGTAACACAGTTTGCTTATATTAGAAACATTAATGTTTGCATTTTACATGCATTTGCTTTGTTTTAAATTTGTGTTGCATTGTGTCATTTTTGCTGTTGCTATGCCAGAGAAAGGCAGGATAAAACAAATAAATGAATAAACAATGTAACACAGCTTTACTGCATTATAAAAATGTGTTAATTTTATATGCATTTACTTTGTTTCTAAGCTGTGTCACATTGTGTCATTTTCCCTGTTGAGTCCCTAGATCAGAAAAAGGCAGGATAAAAATAAATGAAGAAACTTAATGTTTGTTTGTTTTTTTAAAAAAAAAAACCTCAATGTAACACGGGTTGTTGTGAGTTTTGCTGTGACCAACCTGGACAACTCATATTATTTCAGAACACAGAAATGCGGGACCCTTGGGGGGATTATGAGGAAGTGTCAGAGGGGTTACTAAAGACGATCAGAAATCACAATATTTTCTGTTTGTCATGTGGGTTCAGTGTGGGAAGTTTGACCCAATTCTATCGTTGGTGGGGTTCAGAATGTTCTTTGACTGTAGATGAACTGTAAATCCCAGCAACTACAATGACCAAATGTCAAGATCTATATTCTCCAAACTCCACCAGTGTTCAAATTTGGGCATATTGAGTATCTGCACCAAGTTTGGTCCAGATCCATCATTATTTGAGTCCACAGTGCTCTCTGGATGTAGGTGAACTACAACTCCCAAACTCAAGGTCAATGCCCACCAAACCCTTCCAGTATTTTCTGTTGGTCATGGGGGTTCTGTGTGGGAAGTTTGCCCCAATTCTGTCGTTTGTGGGGTTCAGAATGCTCTTTGATTGTAGATGAACTATAAATCCCAGTAACGACAACTCTCAAATGTCATGGTCTATTTTTCCCAAGCTCCATCTGTGTTCCTAGTTGGGCATATAAAGTATCCCTTCTAAGTTTGGTCCAGATCCATCATTGTTTGAGTCCACAGTGCCCTCTGGATGTAGGTGAACTACAACTCCCAAACTCAACGTCAATGCCCACCAAACCCTTCCAGTATTTTCTGTGGTTCATGGGAGTCCTGTGTGCCACGTTTGGTTCTGTGCCATCATTGGTGGAGTTCAGAATGCTCTTTGATTTTAGGTTAATTATAAATCCCAGCAACTACAACTCCCAAATGACAAACTCAATTTTTTTGAGTGGTGGTCACTCCTTGGGTTAGTAGGTGTCTTGTGGCCAAATTTGGTGGCAATTAGTCCAGTGGTTTTTGAGTTATGTTAATCCCACAAACAAACATTACATTTTTATTTATATAGACTAGCTGTTCCCTGCCACACATTGCTGTGGCCCAGTCTGGTGATCTGGAAAAGTAATGAGAAAGTATTGGTTTCTAATATATGTGATGTCTTTCTGCTTGTGGGTAAACAGTATTTCTTGCAGTTTCTTTGTCAGTTTTGAAGTGGAGATTGTCTGGTTTGCCTACTCTGGAACATGCAACATATAATTGTCATTCTTTAAGGGTCCCTTTCAAATCTATGATACTGTGTGTGTGTGTGAATCATATATATCTATGGCTAGATCGCTCTTTGTCAGGAGGGTTTTGATTACATTTTCTTGCCCTGGTGAAGGGAGTGAGACTGGATGGCCTTAAGAATGGGGGTTCTGTATGGGAAGTTTGCCCCAACTTCGTCTTTGGTGAGGTTCAGCATGCACTTTGATTGTAGATGAACTATAAATCTCAGTAACTACAACTCCCAAATGTCAAGGTCTATTTCCCCCAAACTCCATCTGTGTTCATATTTGGGCATATGGAGTATCCCTTCCAAGTTTGGTCCAGATCCATCATTGTTTGAGTCCACAGTGCTCTCTGGATGTAGGTGAACTACAACTCCCAAACTCAAAGTCAATGCCCACCAAACCCTTTCTGTATTTTCTGTTGCTTGTGGGAGTCCTGTGCGCCACGTTTGGTTCAGTTCCATCATTGGTGGGGTGGAGCCCCCAGTGGCGCAGTGGGTTAAAGCCCTGTGCTGGCAGGATTGAAGACCAACAGGTCGCAGGTTTGAATCCGGGGAGAGGCAGATGAGCTCCTTCTATCAGCTCCAGCTCCTCCTGCAGGGACATGAGAGAAGTCTCCCACAAGGATGATAAAAACATCAAATCATCCAGGCATCCCCAGGGCAATGTCCTTGCAGACGGCCAATTCTCTCACAACAGGAGCGACTCCTGACACGACAAAAAAAAAATTGGTGGGGTTCAGAATGCGCTTTGAGTGTAGGTGAACTATAAATCCCAGCAACTACTACTCCCAAATGTCAAGGTCTATTTCCCCCAAATTCCATCTGTGTTCCTAGTTGGACATATGGAATATTCATACCAAGTTTGGTGCAGGAACATCATTGTTTGAGTCCACAGTGCTCTCTGGATGTAGGTGAACTACAACTCCCAAACTCAACGTCAATGCCGAACCCTTTCGGTATTTTCTGTTGGTCATGGGAGTCCTGTGTGCCACGTTTGGTTCAGTTCCATCATTGGTGGGGTTCAGCATGCTCTTTGATTGTAGGTGAACTATAAATCCCAGCAACCACAACTCCCAAATGTCAAGGTCTATTTCCCCCAAACTCCATCTGTGTTCATATTTGGGCATATGGAGTATCCCTTCCAAGTTTGGTCTATTTCCCCCAAACTCCATTTGTGTGCGTATTTGGGCATATGGAGTATCCCATCATTGTTTGAGTCCACATTGCTCTTTGGATGTAGGTGAACTACAACTCCAAAACCAAAGGACACTGCCTACCAAACCCTTCTAGTGTTTTCTGTTGGTCATGGGAGTTCTATGTGCCACGTTTGGTTCAATTCCATCGTTGGTGGAATTCAGAATGCTCTTTGATTGTAGATGAACTATAAATCCCATCAACTACAACTCCCAAATGACAAACTCAATTTTTTTGAGTGATGGTCACTCCTTGAGTTAGTGGGTGTCTTGTGTCCAAATTTGGTGTCAATTTGTCCAGTGGTTTTTGAGTTATGCTAATCCCACAAACGAACATTACATTTTTATTTATATAGAAAGAGGAATGTGGGTGGCATGAGAGCTCTGGTTAGTTGAGAACCTACTAAGTATAATAGTGAGCTCCTTTGCACCATTAGATGGCGCTGCAACTATTCAGAGGCCAATGTGGGCGTGGTTATCTCAATGTAGGCGTGGCTTCTCCCCCGGCCGCCTCAGGGGGGCGTGGCGCGCCTTCAGTCCCGGCAGCGGCGTCTCAGGTGAGGGGGCGTGGCCTCCCCGGGAGCCCGCCCCCCTCCCTCCCTCAGCCGGCGGCTCCTCTGAGCCTCAGTTTGAGGAGACCTTCTTCAGAGTCGGAGGCGCCCTTTTCCTCTCTACTTCCCGGCGCCATGGCAGAGCAGGAGAGCCTGGAGTTCGGCAAGGCGGACTTCGTGCTCCTGGACTCCGTCTCCATGTCAGAGTTCATGGCCAACCTCCGTCTGAGGTAGGAAAGGGTGTGCAGGCGGGGTGGGTGGGCTTCGGGACCCTCCTCCTCGTCCCTGATTGGGTGGGAGGCTTGCCAATCCAAGAGGGGGCGAGCCCTGATTGGACCACGTGTCGCTCTTCCTCCCGCCTCCCCCCTCAAATAATACACCTGATGGATGGAGAGCCTGAGGTGACTTTATACTGCAGAGTGAATGCAGTTTGGCAGTCCTTTTATTGCTTTGGGACCATGGGAGTTGCAGTATTGACAGAAGGCTAAAGACCTTGTCAGGTCACAACTTTTTGGAAAACACCTTTTGGAGATCATAACTTTTTAAGAGAAGCATGACCTTTGAAAGAAGAGCCAGAAACCCTTCTCTTGTGCTATACAACCAGATGTAATTATTCTAGGCAATGGTTTTAGTTGTTAGACTGAATAACCTGTTATCTCTGATCTGCTAGGAAATCAGAGATATAGGTTCTTGTAGGTTTTTTCAGGCTATAGGGCCATGTTCTAGAGGCATTTCTCCTGACGTTTCGCCTGCATCTATGGCAAGCATCTTCAGAGGTAGTGGAGTGGTCCAGCATTTCTGTGTTCTCAAATAATATGCTGTGTCCAGGCTGGTTCATCAGGTGAGAACACAGAAATGCTGGACCACTCCAACAACCACCGTGTCAGACTAAAAAGAGAAGCCATTGAAATCCACAAGCATGTGGACAATTTCAACAGAAAGGAAGAAACCATGAAAATGAACAAAATCTGGCTACCATTATTAAAAAACTCTAAAATTACAACAGCAAAACAGCAGAGAGGAAACAACCAGGCACATCTTAACACCTCTCAACAGAACATTTCCCAGGCTCAGCCAGGCCTTCAAATGCTAATGAAGGTGGTCAGCTGAAACATTCACACCTAGCTCCAGCAGAGAAGAGCTCTTTGCCCCACCCCAGTCATTCCACAGATATATAAACCCATTTTCCTATTTCCAACAGACCTCACTACCTCTGAGGATGCTTGCCATAGATGCAGGCGAAACGTCAGGAGAAATGCCTCTAGAACATGGGCCTATAGCCCGAAAAAACCTACAAGAACCTAGTGATTCCAGCCATGAAAGCCTTCGACAATAAATCAGAGATATGTTTCAGATATGTTTGAGATCTTTCTTTGTGCCATTCAGCCAGCAAGCAAGTGGGCAGTCTGAGGTCTGAAGTACTTATTTACTTACTTAGGCAATCCCTCATTGTCCGAGTAGGATAGTTTTCTAAGATCAGTGTACTGGTGGGTCCGTAAGTGACTGGAGGCCTATTCTTTTTTTAAAAAAGAAATTTTATTAAATTATACATATACATGAAAGAAAAGAATAACAAAGCATATATATATCAACTTTGGGTTAAGTTTACAAGAAAAGTGGGAGAACATTAGATTGTAGGATAGTAGGAAAATTGAGAAATCAATGAAAAAGAGAGAGAAAAAAGAATAATAATAATATAAAAATATTGTTTGACTTCCATTCTGTGTCTTCGCCTATAATATATGTCAGCTTATTTAATTTAAATTTATCTCTTCTTATTTCCCTATTCTTGACTTGCATCTTCTCCTGCAGTGAGGGCATTGGTTTCCAGGTGGAAGACGGTCCCAGTCGGGGTTGGCTTGACACGCCTTCCTCCTGGCACATTTCTCTCTTTCGCCCTCCATTTGTGCCTCTTCAAATCCTGCAGCGCTGCTGGTCACAGCTGACCTCCAGCTGGAGCGCTCAAGGGCCAGGGCTTCCCAGTTCTCAGTGTCTATGCCAGAGTTTTAAGGTTGGCTTTGAGCCCATCTTTAAATCTCTTTTCCTGTCCACCAATATTCCGTTTTCTGTTCTTGAGTTCGGAGTAGAGCAACTGCTTTGGGAGACGGTGGTCGGGCATCCGGACAATGTGGCCAGTCCAGCGGAGTTGATGGTGGAGGACCATCACTTCAATGCTGGTGGTCTTTGCTTCTTCCAGCATGCTGACATTTGTCCGCTTATCTTCCCAAGAGATTTGCAGGATTTTCCGGAGGCAGTGTGGATGGAATCATTCTTGGAGTTGCATGTGACGTCTGTAGACAGTCCACGTCTCGCAGGCATATAGCAGGGTTGGGAGGACAATAGCTTTATAAACAAGCACCTTGGTATCCCTACGGATGTCCCGGTCCTCAAACACTCTCTGCTTCATTCAGAAAATGCTGCACTCGCAGAGCTCAGGCGGTGTTGCATTTCAGTGTCAATGTTGACTTTGGTGGAGAGGTGGCTGCCAAGGGAGCCGAAATGGTCAACACATTTGGGGGGGGGGGCTGAGTTTTTTTCAGGTTTTTTTTGGGGGGGGCTGAGTTTCGGGGGGGCTGAGTCTGAGTGAAAGAGGGTCTACCCTAGCAAACCTTTTGTATCATTACCCCAATACCCCCATGCATATGGGATATATTGAGCATGGTGATCAGATCATGATATGAATAAACATAACAGTTTAAGTAATGCACCAGTAAGGCCTTTTCGCAAACCACCATGATAATTTCGGGGGGAGGGGCTGAAGCCCCCCGAGCCCCCCCCCCCCACATGCCTGGGTGGCTGCCAAGGTAGCAGGAATGATCAACATTTTCTAATGTTATACCATTAATCTGTATTTCTAGCATTGGAGAGGGATTGGCTGGTGACTATTGGAAGAGCACTTTGGTTTTTCGATGTTCAATGATAGGCCGATCTTCTCGTATGCTTCTGCGAAGGTGTTTAGAGTGGCTTGTAGGTCTTCTTTTGAATGTGCACAGAAGACATTGTCATAAGCATATTGGAGTTCTATAACAGATGTTGCTGTAACCTTGGGTTACAAGGTCTGAAGTAGTATGTAGTGATCATGTGGTCTGCAGCCCCTTTTATAACTTCTCAGGAACCATGGAGTCAAGGAAGCTGCATATCAGAAGATATATAGAGGGGACAGTAAGCAACAGGATCATAGATAAACATTACTAGAGAAGGCTTGAAGAAGGTTGTCATTTTCATCACAATTCGCATGAGACCATAGCATTGAGCCATTGCATTTAAAATGGTGTCAAACTTCATCAGCTCCACAGTGTAGATGCACCCTGTGACTCCTTTCCTGTCTATTCTGTTTATGTGACTGACTACTATATTAGAAGGAAAACGAACTGAAATTTTATTTCCTCATGTAAAATTAATGTATGTTATCTGTCAACTTATGGAAGACAGGCATGAACTTCATAGGGGGATCCCCATGGGGAGATAGGGTGGGATATAAATAAAGTTTTATTTATTATATTTTCTTAAATTGCATCTACATTGTACAGTTAATGCGGTTTGTACAGTTAATGCAATTGTACAGTTAATGCAATTGTAGAGTTAATGCATTTCTTACCTAGAATACTGTGTCCAATTCTGGGCACCACAGTTCAAAAGCGACATTGACAAACTGGAAGAGATCCAGAGGAGGACAACTAAAATGAACAAAGGTCTGGAGACCATGATTCCCTTTGAGGAGCATCTTAAAGAGCTGGGCATGTTTAGCCTGCAGAAGAGAAGCTTGAGAGGAGACATGATAGCCATGTCTAAAGATGTGAAAGGATGCCATAAGGAAGAGGGAGCAGGTTTGTTTTCTGCTTCCCTGGAAACTAGGACTCAGAGCAATGGGTTCAAATTACAGGAGAGGAGATTCCACCTGAACATTAGGAAGAACTTCCTGACTCAAAGAGCTGTTCAGCAGTGGAACTATTTGCCTCGGAGTGTGGTGTAAGCTTATTCCTTGGAAGCTTTTAAACAGAGGCTGGATGGCCATCTGTTGGGGTCACTTTGATGGTGTTTTTTCTGCATGGCAGGGGGCTGGACTAGACGGCCCACATAGTCTCTTCCAATTCTATGATTTTATATACCGTACCTTGGTGGTCCTGGTCCAGGTATTCTTTTTGCACTGCTATGCTGACATAGGGATTCTGGGAATGACTACAAAAATATGTCTTTTCCTCTGCTTTGRAAGTTCTGACTTGCTGCATTTGGTGAAAAGGGGCCAARGTCATATCTTGTGCTTTCAGGTTGCCTGTTCGCTTAGTGCAGTGGTTCTCAACCTTCCTAATGCTGTGACCCCTTAATGCAGTTCCTCATGTTGTGGTGACCCCCAACCACAACATTATTTTTGTTGCGACTTCATAACTRTAATTTTGCTAATGTTATGAATCATAATGTAAATATCTGATATGTAGGATGTATTTTCATTCACTGGACCAAATTTGGCACAAATACCCAATACGCCCAAATTTGAATACTGGTGGGGTTGGGGGGGGGGGGATTGATTTTGTCATTTAGGAGTTGTACTTGCTGGGATTTATGGTTCATTTAAATTCAAAGAGCATTCTGAACTCCACCTACAATGCAGTTGGCACACATAACTCTCATGACCAACAGAAAATACTGGAAGGGTTTGGTGGGCATTGACCTTGAGTTTGGGAGTTGTAGTTCACTTACATCCAGAGAGCACTGTGAACTCAAACAATGATGTATCTGGACCAAGCTTTGCATGAATACTCAATATGCCCAAATGTGAACACTGTTAGAGTTTGGGGAGAATAGATCTTGACATTTGGGAGTTGTAGTTGCTGGAATTTATAGTTCACCTGCAATCAAAGAGCATTCTGAAGCCCACCAATGACATAATTCAGCCAAATTTCCCACACAGAACCCCCATGGCCAACAGAATATACTTTTCTTGATGGTCTTTGGCCACCCTTCTGACACCCCCTCGCAACCCCCCCCCCCCGGGGTCCTGACCCCCAGGTTGAGAAATACAGGCATAGTGTTTTCTTGGGCAAGGAATGTTCCGAGTTCCTGTCTCTGACATGTAGCTTATGCTGGACGTTTGTTGGAAATCTCCCATTCAAGTACTGTCCAAGGCTGTCCCTGGTTAGTTTCCAAGATCAAACAGGATCTGAGACCACTTATTTAATAACTGTATTCAAAGCACTTTGTGTCCATAATAACCTCTGTCAGAATAGCACCC